AAAAAAAAAAAAAAGAAGCAGACTAGTAAAGAGAGCGTGGAAGCTAGAAAGGAACGTGCGAGAGGAACACGCGAGGCAGACGAATCTTCTGTAGGCTTTATATAAATGGTGGTAGAAACATTTGATGAGAGACCATGGATATGTAAAACGGATACAGTAACAATTACCCTTTTTTTCTTTCGATCCACTCAATGTATATCTGTATCATGACATATTTCCCTTCAAAAAACTGAATAATATATTTGAACTTAAATTTACTTCCCTCACCGGTGGATATTAATACTCTCAATAGAAATCTTGATAGAGAGAGAAGGGCCTACAGTTTAACAACTGATGTGCGCGAGAATCATGATGATATTAACACGATTTGATAGTGCAAACAGTCGCCATTGAGATACTTTCGCATTTTATTCGGATCGCGATACTTTATAGAGCAGAAAACTAAGAAGAACTTCGTCACTTGCAACTTGCAAAACAAATGAACAATCAAAAACTGTCAAGGCGACACATGTGGGTAAATAGCGAGCGAGTCGTGCGAAGGAAGGAAAATAGCTAAGGTCTCTTAAGAGAAGTAAGCTACCTCTCAGACTGTGCAGACCTCGGTGAATAAAATTAATTTTAATTGAAACGAACCCGTCGCATTGGCTCTCGAGGAAGAAAAGTGAGCCAAAAAGCAGTGAGTATTGGAGCTCCAACTGGATTTTGAACAGAAGAACGTTAGGCTTCAAGCCCCATCCTCCGAAGGTCCTACTTCTTCCGTCGCGCTCCTAAACATTATCGTGTTTGGGGCTTGAGGAAATATTATGAGACACACCATTTTCTTTTCCTTGTACAAACACAACATAGCAGTCATGGTCCGAGTGAAACTCTGGTGTCGTCACAACATGAGGCAGTCATGAGACTTAGCGGGGAAATCCCTTTACGAATCACTGTTTCTGTTTCAGGAACAAGCTATGCTTTGGGGAGATCGGACAGATTCGGATCACAAGATCAGAAACACTCGGAACAGTTTCGTGTTCCCGAAAGCACTTAATGACGTCACTATTCCCGAACAAGCCTGGTGTTCCATGCTAGTGATTCAATGTTGTTCGTTGTTCTTCTTGCCTACATTTTACCTCAATATCGTAAATGTTCGTGCATTTGTATTTAGAGTACCACTGATTCTCAACGGATGAACAATATCTAGCTGAATTTATCTAGGATTTTCATTTCCGGTCGTCATTTAGGAATAATTAACTGGCCATCTTCTCGAAGGAAGGAAGGCTAGAGGGTCATATTAACCTCTGGAAAGGAAATTTAACACCTTGACCCCAGTCTTCAAATACGATCACTCTAAAACTGCAACCATTCGTTATCTGCGGTCATTTGAGGATCACATGCCATGGTATTTCTTGAGTTAAGATCGAATTACAACGCCATGGAAATTGGAGGTTGAATCGATTGTTATTGCAGGACTCTTTTCGGTAATGGTGTCAAAACTAAGGAACATGATGTCATTCTAAAATTGATACCGTGGCAACGTCATATTAAATCTGCTGTGGAAAAGTGAGTTCAGATTCCCAGAGGATTTCAAATGGATGTGTTCTATCCAGACACATCGTTCTGTGAGGGGATTAGGCTAATCGAAAGTTTGCCTGGCGAGTCTAAGTCTACCATGGCCTTGGAGGAGGAGGAATTACTTCAGGAGGGTATCCAAGAGTTACTCAAGTTACTTGCATGTGTCAAGAATAATTCCAACGAAGCTGAAGTGGAGAACTGCATGCATTTGCTCGCAGACAGTTTGGATGACGAAGTCGACATAGACGCTGAGCTCCTTGTGAAGAAACAAGCTCACCTCACTGTGCTGGACGTAATGCGTTCCCACGAAACAAGCCACAAAATTCAACTTCATACCTGTTTTGTACTATACAGGTTCGTGGAACTTGATCCGCGTGTTCGATCTGAGCTACAAAGAAGGCAAGCTCACAGAGATATTTTAAAAATGATGAAACATCATAGTGACAAAATGTGTCAAGTTATAGGCTGTAAAATGTTGTCTGCACTGTGCACTTCCACAGGAATGAGAAGCGATGCTTTGGACAAACGCGCCGTAGATTTTGTTGTTTCTGCTATTAGCTATTTCGGAGAGGATGAAGAATTTTATATTCCTGCTTTTGAAGCCCTAACACAATTACTGAAAGACGATCCGTCTGCACAAGAGAATTTTGTTCACATGGAGGAGAAAAAGCCTCCCCGAAAAAAGTATCGCATTGTTGTGGAAACTATGGAGAAATTCGCGAAGTCAGGTAAGACAGATTGACTCTAAATATTCCGCAAACTATTGCACATTGGAGCTCCAATCTATAAAAATTAATTTGATACGTCAACAACCGAGTGTCTTTTCATGCGAGGTTAACTGCAAATGTCTTAAAACGACATGTGTTTAGTTTCCTTATGCAATGTTTACTGACTCCAATAGTTTTTAGGTAACATGTGTTCAATCTTGTCATGCAATGTTGCCAGACAGCAAGAGTTTTTAATTATTATTTTAATTTTATCTCTTTTGCCCTTGTTAATTTAGCCTATGTACAGTATTTACCCTCTCCCCTCAAGACAATGCTGTATCAGGATTCTCTAAACCTTAAGGATATGCAGTGGAGGAGGGGGAGAGTTTTGTCAATGATTTAGAATGTGGTAGAGACAAGAGTGTTATTCTAAACATAAATAGGACTCTTCAAGTATGATGTGTCACCTAATTTTGTTGCTGATTGTCGCTTAATTGATCATTCATGATCCTAAACTTAAAGGCATTTTGTGTTTTGCTTTAAAGGAGAGATCCAAGAGCAAGGTATTCAGCTGATGTGTGTTCTAGCATCTTCAAACAAGAACTGCCAGGCTCTTGTACATGGAAGAACATTTATGGTTGCCTTGGAAGCAATGAAGAAACACTGTGACTGTGGTGGAGTTCAAGCAGTGGGATGCCGACTACTTGTACTTTTGGCAGCCTTGGAGCCTCACAGAGCAATTCTAGTTCAGCAAAATGTTGTTTTAATGGTTATTCTGAGGGCATTACGACAGTTTAAGGATTGCGTGGAGGTTCAGAAAAATGGCTTGACTGCTTTGGCTCTCCTCACAGAAGAACTGGACAATAAACTGCAAGATGGTCAGTGAAGTATTTTATGAAGCTTTTATTCAACACAGTGAGAGCACACAAATCAATATTCCATTACTTGAAAGTTAATAGGAGCAACAATTGTAGGTTAGATGAATAATGATTTATAACACTGCACTCCAACATGATTGGTATGAGATAAATCATGTTAAGAGTCAATATGTTGTGTTTTTGTGTAAGACAATTCATTCTCATAGAACCTCTGATCACATGGGCATCTAAGCTCAAAGTGACTAGGGTATTACCAGTCTCCCTGGATAGGATGCCAGTCCATCCCAAGGTTACTGCCTGGTATTTCATCATATCTCCCTGAGCCACAAACGGGGAATGGTTTTAAAGGTCTTGAGTATTGTGGTCTTCAATTTCACTATTTAGTATCTTCAACAGGGTATCTTTCAAAACAAGAGGTCTTAAACATAACTTTGGTGCTAACAATTTGCAGTCTGAAAATATGCTGCTAACAATTTCATTTGGGTCAATTCTAAATATTCTGTCTGAATATGCTAGACATTTGCATTGGGAGGTCTGTTTGCAAAAATCCTTAAGGGTCTTTCAACTTGATGAGGCACTCGTTTTGTTACTAATAGGGTCAGGGGTTTATTGTCTCAACAACACACTACCTCCCTAACTTCCCTGAAGAGCCAATCACGAAACTCTAGGTCATTTTATCGTTGTGGAAGGAGTTGGAGGTTTTTTTAGGGTTGAAAAAATACAATTTACTGATCTCTCCATAAGGCTCTGTGATGTTGTTATCTTCCACTCCACCTTTTGCTGGCAGTTAATTGGCAGTCAATTTCCTATAGTCACCCCTTTACACTCCTTTGGTTACTGATCCTCCCTTCATTACCCCTGAAAACCATGTAATCCACCCTAAAATACTCTACCCCAACCCCCCCTCAGAAAATAGATAAGGAGTGATCCCCTATTTTTGCTCTATAATTTTGAGATGTACAATCAAGTCCAATTATATGCTCTTCTTTAGGATTACAGGACTACAGGTGGACACATCAAGTATTAAATGCTATGACAAGCCACTATGATAAACCAGAGGTCTTAATTGCGGCCTGCCATGCTTTGCAAGAGTTGATTGACTTCTGTCCCAATGTCTTGACTGAAATAGGAGAAGAAGCACATGGCAATGCCCTTCCTGTACACAATTGTTGCATGGCTGTCTTGATGTTGCATGCAGATAACTTAGAGCTATGTGAGTCAGCATGTAGAGTTTTGGCAACCATGGTCAGTATGTCAAATCCACTAAGGGAGGTAAGATGAAAGAGATCAAAAGTCATGTTTTCTCTGTACAAAGTTAAGGCTTACAAGAGCACTTTAAATCAGTTCATACTTTTAATTAATACTTGATCATCACTTTATTACACCCATTTTGAAATCTCTGGTGGTCCCTGTAATCTGATTGGCTCTAATTGTTGCAATTTATTCATGAATTGCACTATTTTTTGCCTTAAATCGCATTTTTTCCCAGCCAATGAGGAGGCTATACTAAAACAAAACAACCAATCAGATTTCAAGGCTTGTTTAAAGTAACTGATCAAATTGCAGGAAAATGAAAGACAAAGGGTATCATGTGGCAAATTTTGCAACTTTTGTTTCAAAAACTTACTTTTCCCCCCAAAAAATGGATGAATTTAACTTCAGACTGGCTCAGTACTGCATTGA